ATTATATGATGATGTAGTTTTGAATCCGACAGATTTGTATGCAACAGAGTTCTTATTGAATAATTTTTTTCATACAGGAATCAGGAATGTTGTGAGATTGAAGCATCACGACTGGTAGATTTTTTAAAAGATTTCCTGAAAGTTATATCACATAATGTTACATAATTCTGTCAAAAAACGCAAAATTGTCTATAAAATCCAAAGTTCTTGATCAATTTTGACAACCAATACATCAAACTGCTTGTCTCACTAAGGCGATTCTAATCAAACTATCACAGGAACACCCACTTTTATGGACTTTTTTAAAAGCTCTGTTATTAGACGCATTTTGAAGTTAAACCGCGTAATTAAACACATTTCCGTTGACAAGTCGGTGCCCGATTCAAAGAGGAATTTGTCTGATCTGTATATCTTGTTTTATTCATGTGAATCCATCAATTCCGGAATTATGTGTCTGTGTTTCTGTGGGTGTAAAAAAAGGTAAGTTGGATTTTATTATTTTCAGAAAATTGCAATACACTCAAGAAGTCAAAGGAAAATAAATAAATTAGCCTCATTAGTGAGGTTAACATTGTATGGAAAAATAGCCATTCAAGAAGGCCTTTTTACATCATTGTCTTTTATAACAACCAGCAAAGAACTCATGAATCCCCCCCCCTCCCTCAAACTTCCTCAGTCAACTTAAAACAACAACAACAACAACAAAAACAGAAACAAAAACCCCTCGTCATACATAGGCCTAGACCCTATTCTTTCCTCATGACTCTGCCATGACAGGTACGGCTGGAGTCGATTAATCTAGAACGTGACGATACCGCGATAATGACCACGTCATGTAAGCTAATATGCGGGAAAATCCTAACAAACAAACATAATAAACTACAATGATCACTAACACATTTATAAAAATCGAATATCAAAACATGAAAACGCAAATATATCCCTTTAATCACAGCGATACCAACCCCGATAGACTGGCTGGCTACGCCATTGCTGGGTCGCGCGAGCTGGGGTCAAAGTTCACTGCGGCTGGCCGCCCGGGATCGATGAAAATTGTGAATGGGGTACATTTTTTAGGGCGATGTAACTCAAAATTTGCTAATTGTAGAAGCTTCATATTTACACACAAGGTCATTAACATATTGATATAAAACAACCTTGAAGGGTTTCAATGTCATTTTCTATAGAAAGGATGTTATAACAGAATTAAAACTTACCTTTTTTCCAAGAAACACAACTCCGGA